TGTATGATATGTGCACCAATGTCGCTGACGCCAGAATCCGAATAACCGGATTTTGCTGCGATTAGTTGGGTAAATGCAAGAAAATAGCTGCATCTGGAAAGAAAACTCCGAAAATTGATGACACTTAGAAGCAGATTCCGACCAAAACAGGTCTAGACTTTTCTGGACGGCTATTGACCGTTCTTCGCCCGAAAAAAAACTAGAACTTAGTTGGAAACCATCAGAAAAAGCTGCTTCCAGGTTTCATAAATCTTCGGCGTTTTCCTTCGATATCGATCAGTACGTCTTCATCTGGATGTCGTCTTATGACAGAAACAACGAAGAAGTGTTTGAACTGCTACTGAACCTATTTATAACTTGGCATGTTTAACAGACTTTTATCCAGCCTCGGTGTGGGATTATGCCTAATGAGATTTTGTAATGTTATCGTAGTAATAGGCTGTTACAGAAACAGGACTGTCCTGATGTTTTGTCCAGCCCTTCAAGGTAGAGGAACTTTCTTTTGGTTCTGCCCTGCTTGCCTAGTGAAGAAAATAACTGCCATGTAATCGTTTCTACCGTGCAGTGTTTCTATGGCATACCCGGATCAACTGTAATATTCTTTGGAAGTGATATGAATAAAATGTGAATACTAATTTTCAAAAACGCTATAAAGTTTTTATCTAGTTGCGAGATTTTTCTAATATATGAGTTCCATTTATAAGTCTTCCCACAAGGGCAAGATTGGACAAGGCGAAAATAAATAATCCATGAAGGTCTTTGATTGAAAATCTACATAAAGTACACCAAGTTTCAAAATTCAAAGCCTATCAAACTTTTTAACTAAATTCCAGTAGTTTTTGAATGGGGAATATTACCAGAACAAACAGCATTCATCGAAGATTCAAAGAGACTAATAGAATCCTATAAGAATCTTGTCACGACGATTCTCATCAGGTTTATTCATTTCGATTGCATACTCACCAGTACTAATAATCTCCTTTTCTGTTCTTTCTAACTGCAGCAAGTGAAGTATAGCTAAATGAGCGTATGGTCGCCTACAAAAAACATTAAAATACAATTATTGTAAAAAAAAAGATCCAAGCGTACTCCATCATAAAAAGAGCATAACTGGATAATGCTTCTCTTTCTCTCCTTCTGGATATACATACGCTTCATTAAATACACTATACAGTATTATGAAATATAAAAAGAAAGATTACTTGGATACTCTGTAATACTTATGTTGTGAAGTATATCTCAAAAATAGAACAAACTGTTTTTTTGATTTTGATTATATCATTCGATAGGCTGAAATCTCTACTTTATTCTATAAAAAAAGTTTTGGAGGCTTTCCTTTATAAATTACTACTTCATTCCTGCGCAAAAAGATTATTTGTATACTTAAGATTTTGCTTTTATCGTACATTCATTACGCATCAAAAAATTTTGAGTTATGTACCACTCGACAGAGAAAGCGATTCTCTACACGCTGATATGTATTAAAACCAAAAACATTATTGGTAGTAGCTCAAAAATTTCGAAACATCTGATGGCGCATAGGTTTTACAAAGATCTTGAATCATTCGATAGATACAAGAAAACTGAATCGAATGATGTCTTTGGTTTCTGAAAATGATTGCAAAAAACCATACTAATTGCGAGTTACAATTAATATTTCAAATAAGTCTTCCAATCATTTTGCTTTATAATGTGTAAAATTAAAATGGAAAATTTTCTCAATGATATCATCTTGTAGAGAATAAAATTCTACATAAAATGATATTCTTCAATAAGTAATAATTATTTCCTCGAATATGATGAGACCCTACCTTTTCAAATACTCTTTACAGTGTAGAAAGAACAGAAAAAAAGTTTTTCCGTTCTGTTGCTGATGAGATATATGTAAGTCCACAGAACGGAATTGTTTTTCTTTTCATTACTCACTGTCACTCGTACTTTATAAGATAGGATCTTATCATAGTCAAGAAAAACAATTATTGATTATTCAAAAACATCATTTTGTGCAAAGTTTTATTTTCCACAAGACTATATCACTGAAAAAGGTTTTAGCAATTAATATGACTTTTTTATGAGTTACCTAATTCGAGTTCGAGTATAAATGGGGTGTGGGTGTAGATGTCAGTTGAAGAGACATACATCCACATCCACATCCTCTTCCCATCGTCGGTGTCCTATGATGACTGATTTTCTCAAAGACTTGCTCTTAAGCACTCGTTCTATTTGTTTTGATATATTTTCATGTAAAAAATAATTCCCAAAGATACATGAAAAAAAAAGAATCGATTTATATTGTTTACTCATCATTATTGTTCTAGATTAAGTATCATTTTTTGATATCGATGATTACTTGTTAGATTAGAAAGAAAAAACTTAACTGAAATTTATTTCTATATATGTGATATTATTTGAATATATGAGCACTTATATATCCACATCCCTTACCCTCAAAATTTTCTTAAAGAATAAACATCTACAATATATTAAAACATTTAAGCTCGGCGTGTAAGAATGAACATGGATTCAGACATAACAAATAAAACAAATCAGTTTTTGATTTTGATCAAGATTTTATTTTTAAAATTGTATGAAATCATATTCAAAAACAATAATAGTATCACGATAGATCAACCCATGAAATAACATTTTCAATGAATTCTTTCAAACTTTTGTATGCGATTATTATATCTGTCTGAAACATATAGATTAAGGTCTGAGTCAAATGCAATATCCGCCGGATAACTCAATTCACTGCTGCTATTGCCAAGTTGACCCGTACCTGCAATTGTAATGCCTAATATAGCATCTGGGCAAACCATTTGTATTCGATGATTGGAAGTATCAGCAACATATAAATTACCATATTTATCAAGAGTTAAACCTTCTGGAAAAAATAATTGTGCTGCACTATTTCCAGGTCTTCCTGGTATACCAGCATAAATATTACGAGGTTCATAGTCCCCAAGAACCCATTGTGTTATTGAATGCGATTGTTCATTCGATATATATAAAATTTGATTTTTTTCATCATAATATAAGCCAGTTGGACCATTCAATTGATATGGATTGAGACCAGCACCATTACCACCCTAAAACAGTTATAATCAAGTTAAATATATTGAAATGATAGTCTAGCTAATTATTTCCATTCGAAACATTAATCATTCAAGGATCAATTCGTTATTCACTAGAAATAAAATTGGATGCTTACAGCTATGATTGTGCCAATCGATGTTTTTGGATCAAAAGAGAATGGCCATTGCGTTACACGTTGGTTTTTATAATCACTAACTATGATATTTTTCTTTGAATCAAAGAAAACTGTGCTGGGAAAATTAAATTCATTTAATGCTGGACCACAACTACCATTCCCTGCGACTGTTTTGCCACTGTTGGCATCCTTTTGCCAAAATTGAATTCGTTGGTTACCCCAATCAGCAATGAAGATATTTTCATTTTCATCGGCGAAGATATCTGCCGGACCTGATAGCATATTTGGTGCTTTGCCACTGGTACCATTCGCCTGACCCGCAGCTGTTTTTATATCACCATTCGGATAACGTTTTTGAATGCGACTATTGGACATATCAGCAATGTATAAGATATGTGTTTTCGGTTCGATAAATATACCATTGGGCAGATATAATTGATCTGGACCTGAACCCATACCATTACCAATGACTGTCTTACCTCTTTTATTCCATGCAAGACCACCTGGACCTAAAATTTCAATGAAAAAATTCCATTTATTTTTCTTTTTTTCAGACATCAAAGAACTTCACGCTCTTTTATTCGCTACAAAATTACTAATCTGACCCTTTTCTAGTTATGGTTTAAAATGGTTTTACCGACGTACAGTAGTCGATTTTGAGCTTTATTGTTATACACTCGATTCGTAATATTGTTACTACTAGAAAAAGAATGACATCGAGAAAAACTATCTAACATTCATCGTTACTCGACACAATCGTACTATTCACTTTGTTGAGGCCGAAATCAAAATAGTCAAATTTCAATAAAATAGAAAAGAATACAATAAATGAAAGATTTAAGATTTGTTCAGATTTAAAGCATACAAGAGTATTGCATGTCACTTACATTCGGTTGATTCTTTATAAATAGCTTCGCCTAAAATAAAATCAAAGATATTGAAGACAAAATCATGTTTAAAAAAAATATTAGCATACACTAACCATTGTTTCCAATGATGAATCTAACGATGATACAAATTGATGAATTATTCTCAATGATTATAAATAAAAATGAATAAAGAATTCAGTCTCTAGGAATCTCTGTGAATTGAAAATCATCAGAAATGGAAGGACATTTTTATTTTTGATAGATATTTCAGTAGAGACTAATTATCGCTTTAACTTTTGAATACTTACACGAGTAAACACGTTAAATACCGTAACATCATCTTTTGACACTGTTATTTACCTGTTTGAATACAAAAAATGACGAATATCTCGATTTCTCACATCTTTAAACTTGTGTGACTTTTGTTATCAATGCATTATCATTTATACGTAGCATTTTACAGTTTCAGAACGTGATAAACAAAAAAAAACGACCGTTAAATAGATCAACTGAGATAATTTAAAAAGAAAATGTGCGCTTCATTTGTATGCATTACAGGCTGGTACAAAAATGAATCAATCAATAATGGATGGATGTGGAGTGTGAACCACAACAAGATTCACTTCCACCCATACCCTACGAAATATTAGTCAAAGGAAAACTAAAAGAAAGCCTGGTGAATTTTTCCTCGGACATTTTTTAATAATCAGTTTTTTTAATGTTTTGCTATCCTTTTAGAGCATGTAAGTATTGCTATAATAGTATGAAAGTCAACGTAGTCAACTGTTATATTGATGACTACATATATCTGATTGTTATCAACAGTCGGATGTCATACATTATTTGGGTGTGGGCATCGGTGTCGGTACTCGTCACACACTCATCCACAACCGCACCCTCAATATTGAAAATATTTTTTTGTCCATTTTTTTCACAGAACGGTACAATAATTTTGCAATTGACTCCTATTATAGTCCATATATCATTCATATGATAAGAGCGAATAACATGAAAATGATACACATCACTGGTATCTTTTCATTGATCGTTGTTCACTGATTTCAACTATATGTATCTCCATCATCCAGGGTTCTCGATTGTCTTTAGAAGTGGGAGGGGATAAAAGTTGGCAGAAAGTGTCTTCACATGAGTTTCCAGAAAATACCAAAAACTAGAGACTTTTTGCGGAATTTTTGTTGCCATAAAGTGTTTTTTATTGACCTTTTGCCAGAAAAAAGGGCAAAGAGCACTTAAAAACCAGTTTTCTATCAGAATTTAACATGTAACCATCAAAAACTTTGCAGAAGATATTTAAAATTTTAGCAGAAAATCAGACACTTTTTTTATTTTTGGCGGAGAAATTCCTTCCATTCCCTCCCTCCCCTCCTACTATTCAGTAAGCCTGCCATCATCAAAAATAAGTACATCGAAAATATCTAGTTCATACAAAAGAAAATATTTATATTCCTTCAAATTTCACCAATTATACAATGGCCCCTGATCCTAAGTTTAAAAAAATTGTAAAGATATATGCTTGAAGGAACAAATAAAAATATCTACCTTGAAAATATTCATAAATAACAATAAATATAGACACAACTCTGCCATGAAATAAAAAAAAAATTTTAATAGATACAAATACAACACGTATTTCTGATTACGAAATTATAAAATACTGTTCCAATCTCAACAATATTCTGAATTCATCTACAAAATATATAAACGAAAAGCTTAGTTTACAACTAACTTTTGGGTTATATAATCGAATAAGCTATCAAATTTGGACAGAGTGGTCCACCGCTGTACTTAGCCGGATTTTCTGTCTTCTATTTAAGGCAAGTTTAAATAATACACTGAAGAAAGTCGAGGTTTTGAAGAGAAGATTTTTCTTTAAAAATTGTTTCATAATCAAGGTTTATCAAGACTATCGTAGTTTATTAAGTAAAAAGAATTATTTGTCTAAAAGAATTTTTATCGATATTTTTGAACTTTTAGTCCACATCGATGCTTGAATTTGTCTATCTTAGATCGTTGAGGTAATGTATTGAAATAACCTGATCGAGCTGATTCAACTTCATTTTTCTTTTGTTCTGGTTGAATTCGGCACGTGCATACTGTTTTATCAGCATTTCCCGTCATCAACAATGATGCTCGCTCTCGTAGAACGGGTGACAATTGATATTTCAACTATCTCTAAATTTCTTCTTTAATCACATATATTTTATCCTCTGCTGAATGTAGATTGCTGAGATTTTCTCTTTAGTAAAAGAACTGGAAAGATGCATTCTATTTTGGCTAATGCTAAACAGAGAAAACAGGAGTAAAACATGAATATAGACAAGTCCGATACAAGTTTTTTTTTCTCGCTATATAAACAGATGATATATTGCTCTGTCCGTATAGTGGCATCTTCTATTTCGTTTAAATTTTGAATTCAAGAAGATAAAAAAAATGACCTTAGACTTTGTCCTAATTATCTTTGACGCGTTACATTAGACAAATTTCCATTTATATTTATTTTCCACATTTCGTGTGTTGATTGACTCTCTATGAAGTATTAATGTTCTGTTCTACTTCTGTATTTCCCAATAAATATTTAGAGATACAATATATAGTTAAAGTAATGATGTACTCGTTCAGGTTCGAAACGAATCTTACCTATCTGTTTAGTAATTATGTGAAAGTGTATACAATTCTAAACGTTTCAGAATAGCTTTAGTAAATTCATCGTTGTCGAATACTTATAATCTGTAAATTTCATCGCGATAACTCATATCCCACCGATATCTTGGTGTCAATCGACAGATATTAACAATAAATGCTAAATTGGTCATAGCAAGAGAAGTAGTGGTTTACGGTTTTTCGTAAACCATGAAGAGCTTTTTGTTTTTTGTTTTTCGACAAGACAAATTCTAAACAACAGAAAAACCTTTTCTTTTTTATTAATAGATGCTCGAACAAGAGGGCGATGTGTTTTCAAGGAGCCAAATATACCGATACAGTTTTTTCGTAACAACTATGACTAATCAGATAAAACAGAAGTTATTGAGTACCTATCTGACTTCATCCACCGCTGACTTCAACAGTACTATTAGTTTTCCTTAATTTTGATTTTCAAATGATATTTTAAAATATTCAAACTTCAAGCTTTTAGGTTTTAAAGATCTTTGATTTAAAATTCTACAATAATGGATATGTTTATTTATTCAAATGACTTATGATATAGAGTGCATTTTCCTCACTTCAGAACATATTTAAAGAAAAAGAAATTTAGAAGATTTTTTAAATAAATTTATTGTTTTTATCTGTTGCAGATAAAATTTTTATGAACTTTTATTCGCTTTAAATTCGGTATGTTTCTCATGCTATCCAATAAACATTGTATTTATTAGTAGGTTTATATATCGAGTTCAACTTTTGTATAAATCATTTCCTGTTAACATGATGCAACAATTGTTGACTTATCCTATGCCGAAATTTCCTATTATTAATGCATTATTTTATACATCAACATAAAGCACGTTGATGGCATTTAAAGATTTTTTTTCTTTAATTATTTCAGCAAAAATATTGTTATACTTTTTAAAAATGAGGGTGTGGGTGT